AGTTTTGGTGGCAGATTCGATGTTTAAATTGTGGATTTTCCTCTCTATACTTTCTAAATTCAGGGCTGGAATATCATTTGAAGTACAGACAAATTCACATATAGGGTTCAAAATGCTTAGAGTACATATACCATTTTTTGATATTTGTCTTTGTGCACTCTCTGCCTACGTTCAAGACAGAGTGTGCTTTGAAAGCATTGCAAATATCGCTATCTGCAAGGCAACTCTTATCTAAAATGCCTGATTGCTCAGTTACATTGTGCTGTATCACGATAGGATGACTAATCATGTCATAAAAGTTAAATGAAATCATCTAGCCAGGATGAAGAATGCATTTTAAGAGTTCCATATTTCAAGTAAATTATCTGTTCTTTCATAGTGACTAATGTTTGAGTGAAAGAAGCAATTTTTTTTTTCCTGGGTAGCTAGAACAGCTTGATTCTGCTCCATTAAATTCAGTGGAAATGCTGTTGTTTACCTTTCTGAGTTTAGGATAGGAGACTTCCATGAGAAAGACAGTGACACATGTGAACATGTTTTAGGAAAAAACTCAATCTACTTGGGTATGATTTTCTTTTTACCTCTGACATACTATGTTACTCCGAAAGCTTTCAGAGCAGAAGCATATACTCTTCAGTGCAGCACAGAGAACAACAAAAAAAAAAATATGGTATGCTAATTCTATGCTTCTACATAGATGAAGTGGCATGATAGCTTATTTCTTTTATGAAGTAAGCAGTTTTTAATGATATTAGAATTTCAATATTAATATTTTATAGAAATAAAACACTGAAGCTCTAATATAGTTAGAAATGAAGAATTTTGAGAATCCAGTTAATTGTCATTATAACCTACATATGAGGCAGTTTCATTTTTAATTTTTTGTCTTAGGCTCCCACAATAATATTTTAATAGGAATTATTTAAGGGAATGTTCAAGAAATACTCCTGTCCTATGTAAAAATGTCACATGAGTAGGCAAGCTGGCTTTGCAGAATGGTCAGTGTCCAAAACACCAATCTATAAAAACTAAAAAAGCTCCAAATCTTATCTTAGGAGAGTTATTGACTCAGAGGCACCATGTGTGATGGCTCTCTACAGCAAACGTGGTCAAGATTATCATTAGGCATGCCATGCACCCAACACTAATTCCAGTGTCAGGGTTTCAGTTCTAAAGCAGCTCTGCTGCAGTTGGTTTTTGGCATGACTTCAAAGCTCATATTCAAAGTTAGAGAGCTTAAAACCATGCAAGCTTATTTAGGTTCTTTAAATGGTCCGGCTTAGTAGATGTGTGGGCATTTGAAGCTTTGTAAATCATTGCAGTCTAAAATGAAAAATAAAATATGACTATTTTTACTCAGTTTTCAATGACATGACACTGAATTAATTTCAAAGCATTTTCTCCCTACCTATCCCTCCACTGTCCCTTAATCTCAGGAGTACTGGAGCTGTAACATTCTTGATTATTTTCTTGGCTTGCCACACTATTAAAGCTTACAAAGACTTTGCCAAACAAAAACCCTAACCTCTTCACTGAAAGCCCTCCTACATTAAGAAGCCACTGCTTTCTTATCTGTTAGGGAAGTTGTTGGATTTGAGTCACCACTTTTTAAAGACTGTCTTGTGACTTGATGGCCGTCATAGAAGAATGTGTTGGTACTTCTGTCAGTTACATTTAAAGCACCTTTTGCAATGAGAACGGTTGAAAACTCTACTAATACAAATATCAGTTCTGCACCTATTATGTGCTTAACTTTATGCACTTATGTTGCACTCTCCAGAATGTAAGAGCAGCATACAGCACAAACAGAATGTCATCACAGCCTGATGTAATGTTACAACTTCCTCAGTACTTTAAAAATAGCTGCCGAGCACTCTACCAAAGGATATTTTCACCTTGCAATAGAGAAATTTTCATTCAGAATTACCTCAGTCCAAGGGTATTAGAAGGTAATATAAGGGTATTGTGTGGTCTGTGGGCATTCAGAGATTTTTCTGTACTGAAACAAATGTTGGCTCGAAAACCCATTAGTGCATTTTTGTGAATCAGCACTGAGACCTATATATTAGAAGACACCAAGAATTAAATTTTGGGTTTGGATATCTACTATGATCTCAGATATCACATTGATATTATATATTTGTGAAATTATTCATAAAAATGTTCTTACCCATGTTTTATAATTACCTATTTCAAATATTTTCTTCTGTGCCCTACTATCATTTCAGTTTTAATGTTTAGTGTTTATGGTGAACCCTGAGCTGGCTGGACACTTAAATTGAAACTACTCTTCTTTAAAATAAGTCAATCAAATTATATTGAAATTCTCCATTTTCAAAAAGAAAAATACAAAGCCTCACAACTTCCAGAATTTAAACAGTGAAAGTGAAGATTCTTTGGCTGTGAATGTTTACAAAATAAGATTACAGTTCAAAGTAAACGCATGGAGACAGACAGAAGTGTTAAGGATTAATGACTCAAACAATTGGCCATTTGCAAAAGAAGCAGGGTGTTTTGCTAAACCAGGTTTGCACCCCGCAGCAGGAGAGGAAGGAGAGCTTTTGGTGTTTGGTGGCAAAACCTCTGGTCTGCATAAGAACAGCCCAGGTGCAGACGGAGTGCTAATCTACCATGGGAAGATGACCACAGACAAACTGACTTTGTTTAGCAGCAAGCTGTATCTTGAGCCAGATGGGGAAGAAGACTGGTAAGAAACAGGTCTTGGAGGGGTGGGTTAATGTTTTTTTTGTTATGATAACGTCTTCCCTTAAACAGTTGGGTTAAGTGTAAAACTCCCCTCTAGAGAACAGACCAGGACATTCCACATAGCCTGAAAGTATTCGGGCCTTCTGATGCAGCATAACTAGCTCAGCTGCATGAAAAGCAGGTGCCATGTCTCAGAAGATCTCATCAAAGACACCTGAAGTGCCCTCAGACACATTTCTGGGGCATTCCACCACATGACTGCACATGATCCACAGTGTTGCAACAGACAGTATAAAGCTTCCCCTAAACTGGAAGCACCTGGACATTCCCACCTGAACCTGAATGTATATTAACCCATTCCCAATCCCCAACAGATCAAATCTACAATGACCAATGGACATGTAAATTGCAAAAATCAAGTCTTGTTGCTGGGTCTCTGGGGGCAGATATCTTTCCTCCCTGCTCTTTACTCCTACTCTTTTTTTTTTTCTGTATCTATTTTCTTAAGTGATACCTTTATATTGTTATATTTCTATAGATAATAAAATGACTGCATGCCTCCTTTACACTGCAACTCAATTGTTCTAAAATAAACCATCCGTATGTATGTGTACAAAGATGTGTGTGTGTAAACACTGGTCATTTAGTGTCTTTTCACTGTAGCCCTCACCAGTGGATCTATTGACAAGAACCTCAGTTAGTCTCACCTTCAGGGGTGGGTCATATAACACCTGTATATAAAAATGTTTAGTGGCACTGATTTAGCTCCATTACCCACCACTCTTTGGGCCTTTCCATTCAGATATTTTTTTTACTCAGAGAAGAGGTATGCCTGCTTGTCTCAGAAGAGCAGGACTGCTCCAGATTTGTTACTCCCATATCCACCCATTGGAATAGACTGACTTCAGTGCTCCTCTGCTGAAGGCTGACAGAAGTAAGCAAGATTTTTTTTTTTTTTTTTTGTTATTTCTGATATCAATGACAAGGACTCTTCAAGACAGTATATCTGTATTTACTGAAAGATCTTCCTTTTTTCCACTGTAAGGTTTTAGTTGTTGATTAAGATTTCAAAGCAATTCCTTGGCTTTTGGGAGGAGAAGAAACATAGATTCTGTTTTCACAGATGTCAGGCCAGAGGAATTAGAGAAGTTAAATTAATAAATGCTGATATCAGACAGTGTAAATGAATGGAAATGCAAGATTGACACCTCTTCCTAGATCTAAAAAAGAGGATTGAAGAAGGGCAGACCTGCTCTAAGGATACACACAGACATATTGAGGATCCATCCCCTTTATGACTGAGCTTAATTTTGAATCTAGAGCCTCTAAAACTCTAAAGGATATCTCAGGCTCTTTTACCCAGTCATTTACAAAGATGATCTCCTGCTCAGACTTCATCAAAGCCTTTCTTGAGTTCCATGCAGGGAGGCTACAGGAAATTCCTGAAGCTCTCCTTTAGGTGAGAGGTTTGTTAGCAGACTGTGACTGTGCAGACTCTGAATTGCACCCATATGTGACTAATTGTTCATCTCCTAACATTCCTGGGAGGAAAATGTTTACTTGGATTGCATTTCAGTTGTGGTATAAATGCTTGCAAAATGTTGGCAGCTTTCCAGCTATACTGCTGGACTCTGATGAAATATATAAGAATATCTCTATTAACTCTTCTTTTCTTCTCTCTTTCTTAGATTAATATTACAATGTCCTTGAATTGAACCTTCATTGGCTCAAAGTTGGATCCACACAAACTGCTTAGCATAATGGTTCTATAGGGAGAAAATACATACAATCAAAGATGAATTGGATATTAAGTTGGGCAGAAATGGCGGGGGGGGGCGCAGAGAGGGGCAATAAAAAAAGTTTTTCAAATATTTTAATGGGAAAAGACAGTGTGAAAATAGCATCCACCTACTACAGGATGAGAATGGTCACCTGACATGGTGACATGGACAAGGCAGAGGTGTTCAATGCATTCTTTGCTTCTGTCTCCAATACAGATGACAGACCAAGAGGCTCTCAGTGCCCTGAAATGGAGAGCCATGTCTGTGAGAATGATCGACATCCAATCAGCCCTGAACGTCTGTGGGACCTGCAGCTCCATCTTGATCCTTATAAATCTATGGGGCCTGGTGGGAATCATCCAAAAAATCCTCAAAGATCTTGTTGGTGTCGTTGCAAAGCAGCCAGGACAGCCAGCAGTGTCCTGGGGCACATCAGGCACAGCCAGGCAAGAGAGGGGATTGTCCTACTCTGACCAGATTGTCCCACTCTGATCTGCACTAGGGCAGCCTTACCTCAAGTGTGAGGTGTTTTGGGTGCAGCAAAGGTGATGAAGGGACTTAAGGGGAAGCTTTTCAGGGAGTGGCTGAGGTCACTTGGTTTGTTCAGCAGAGAGAAGAGGAGCAAGAGGGGAGACCTCATTGTGGTTTTCAACATCCTGACAGGAGGAAAGAGGAGGGGCGGGTGCTGATCTCTTCATTGTCAAGAGGAGTGACAGGACCTAAAGAAACAGAATGAAGCTGAGTCAGAGAAGGATAAGGTTGGGTATCAGGAAAAGGTTTTATACCCTGAGGGCGGCTGAGCACTGGAACAGGCTCCTGAGGGAAATGGTCACAGTACCAAGCCTCTCCAAGGTCAGGAATTGTTTAGACAACAATCACAGGTACCTGCTATGACTCTTAGGGATGGTGTTCTGCAGGGTCAGGAGTGGGACTCAGTGATCCCTTCCAACTCAGCATATTTTTTTTTCAGATAGTTTAGTTTTACTGACTGCTTTATCTATTACAGAGATAGCCAAATTGGATTTCTGCGCAAAACATAATCAGAATTTGAATCTTGAAATTCATAATCTTCATTGAAAATTATATTAAAAGTTCATCAGTATTTTACTTCTGCTCCTTGCATCAGTATCTGGTTATACTTGATTAAGGCAAGATATCTTAAAAAGTTTTATAACAAAATCCTTGCTCTTGTGTTTCTATCAAGTCAACCCACACAGAAGTAAAATTTCACTAGTTTATCTGTAAATATAATTTGACCAGAATAGCCAAAATAAACATACAATTTGAATGAGCTATATCCTGCCATTGATATAAGGAAGTGTATGCTTTTCTAATTTAAAATTAGAATTTTCAAAAGCTTGAATGCAGATACCAAATTTAGTACTATGGTCATTGCTGGATTCAAAGTTGAAACTATCAAAAATGAAGAAAGTTATGTTACAAACTGTTCCTTGTGAAGAATGGTTACTCATTGCTTATAAGAGGAGAAGGTTTCTTTTCTTTTAACATTTTATCCACTCAGCAGCTAATATTCGCAAATTTTCATTTGTAAGTACTTCTATAAGAATAGTGTGCAGAGTTTTTTGTGCAAGATGGAGAAAGGAAGAAATTTGACAAGAAAATTCAAGTTAATTGTTTGAAATATAAGTATAAAAGTAATCAATTAAATTCCTTTCCTTTTAGTTATCCTATAGCATGTTTTCTATATAAATAATTTTCATCACAGTCATAAGAGAAAAAGGTTTTTTTTTTAATTTTTAACAACTAAAAATGAACATATTCTGTTAGAAATTAAACAAAATGAAAAGTGGATATCTTTTTCACAAAGGGTGGTTTAATAAAAATATATATTAACTTTTAAAAATCAAATTAAGAACCATTTTTAAAAAAACCAAAATAAACACCAACAGCTGACTGTCTTTAGATCAGCAGAAGAAGGTGGAAACGTGGGATTGAATCTCTCTGCTAGAAATGGGGATTCACTAGTTGGCCACCCTGATCTGGAGTAGATGGACAGGGGAAGGAAGAGCAGCAATGCCCAGGGCAAACTGTGCTTCTGTCAGCAGCAGCCTCTCAACACCCATCTCCTCTGGCCCATCTACCACGACCTTCCTCACTGCTGCTGAGTGAAGACTTGACAGGAGACAGAGGGTGTGCAACAGTGATTTTGCATCTCCAAAAGCTCCCAGGCCTTTGGAGGCTGTGCCAAAGAGTGGCAGACAGGGGCACCATGAACTCACGTGGTGTTCCAGTGAACTTACAGAGCACGGTGTGGGCCCTGTGTATTTGATGAGAGGAGCAGTAAGTATCAGGGATGGTAGATACCTCACTGCTGCTGCCAGTGAAATGGTGATAGGAACTCTGCTGACACTGCTAGGTAAAGAAGGGACTCTAGAGTGGATGCAAACAGCTGGTTTCTCTTCACCCTCATGTTTGGCTAAAGCCCAGGTCCAGTGTATGCAGCCTGATTAATTTCCCTCAACTTCAGTGTGCATTGTAAACTAAATTAAGTTTAATGGTTCTAGCTCTCTTTTTTATGGCTGGTAATGAGAAAGGTGTCTTCAAAGAAAAGGTTGGTCCACATAAAAAAATGTATTATATACTCCTTAGTAGAGGTATGTATTTCCCAGGGTTGTTAAAGCAATGTAAGATGACTGTACTCTGAAGTCAGACATCTTTAATCAGGAAGATAAAACTAAGGTTCAAATTGCAATGTCAGCTCAGTTGCATGTAAACAATGAATAGACATTTAAAGTCACTCAGACCTTTAAATATATCTATATATCTAAAATTAGCCATCTGGGTCTAAAGCAGTCAGCTTGGGTTTTTTTTCCAGTCAACGGAAATGGCATAACCAGGAGACTTTAGCAGTTTTAGCATTTTTAGCATTTAGCCATTTTAGCATTATCCTCATACTAAATACCCGTCTAAAATAAGAGAGGTGTCATTTTTCCTTCAGGTCTATTTTTCTCCACTGGTTTTATAAGGATGGTCTAGCATGACTGACCTGTCATTAACTAGATTTTTAGTCATTTAAACTTAAGTCAAATTAATCCCACACCCAGCTTACACTTATAGAATCACTCAAAAATCTTTTTTATGTCATAAATAATTAAATAAAGTAATAACTGTATTCATGTACAGACAGAAGTTTGGGGAACTATGGCTGCTTCATAAGAAAGGATTATATATTTCATCTTCTGTAATAAACAACAGGCTGTGGTTTCTTCTGCTGCCTGATAAATGAGAGTCAATCCACATGTCAATGGAGAAAGTCTTAGATATCTAACTAATAGATTAAAATATCAGAAAAGTAGTTTTCGAGTTATCTTATTATATTCTATTAGCATGGCACTATGGCAGTGACAACTTTTGAAGTCTAGATCCTGCCATTGAGCAAGTTCTCATTGTTTCACTTTACTTGCTTGGATTCTTTATTCCCATTACAAAACCCATGCTGTTTACATTCATACAATGTATGCCCACTGCTATTTTCAGTCACAATAAAAATCAAGCAGCCTCCTCAACAAGCCATCAAATAATAATGAAATACTTTTCAGAATTTTATCACAAAGGGAAAAAAAAGCATATGAGTTGTTTCCTTTAAAACTGAGGAAATGCCTAGGGAATGCTGAGTCATCTCTGTGAAATCTGTCACTCACTTCTGCACTTGTAGAAGTCTACCAGAACTATAAGAGGACAGAAGAAGTAAGCAGGGAGTGGTCTAAGTTACTGTCCTCTCTGCAAACATATATACCAACAGCGTCACAAAATCTTTTGTCTTGATCTTCACACCAGGATGCACAAATCTCAATAAAATATGCAGTGTTTTTCCGTGAACGTGCACAAATACACAAATTGATTCTAATATTTGTCCTGATGCAACCTCTCAGTATAAGTAATAAAAAAGAAAAATTGTAACAATAAATATTTGAATGGTTATGACATTTAAAAATTTTGATATATAGGATTATGAAAACAAATTAACCAATATTTCTTCTGTCAAAATAATCTAACTTGATCCAGAGACAGAAGGCAACAATGAATTTCTAGTCAGTCTGATGTGTACTAGGCAGAAGCATAATAAATCTTTACACATTGAAGTGATAAAGTAGTGTGAATTTTAAAGAAGATGCAGGAAATTTTATAACTGAAAAAAAATTAATTTGTTCTAAGAAAAGTACAACAAAATACACAAAAGTATTATTTTTTTTTACATCTAATTACATGGATTCATATCAGCAATGCATTTTAATGGGACTGTAGATCACATCTTTTATTCTTGGTAAGCCATACTAAGTCCATTTTGCAGCATATTAAAATGAGTGCAGTAACCTCAGCATATTATAATAAGTGAGCAAAGTAACCCATCTGCAGTAGTATTTGATAGACAGAAAGGAGCTGCAAACTGGATAAACAAGTCTTGCTCCCAAGACCTGAAGCACACAAGTAGCAAAGGAAAAATGACAGGAGAAAATTTAAAAAATTCATTTATATTAATTTATTTATTTTGTATCTGCAGTAAAGATCAGTTATGTGGTGGATTGAAGAAATTATGGCAGCTCTTGGTCCAGAGAAACAACAGGGTGAATGGGAAAGGTGACCTCTAAGGAGTTAAGAATTTTGCCATATAATAATAAAAGTTTTTTGGTTTTATAAGTGGCAATTAAAAGTGTACAAAATAAACTAAGGAATTAGAATCCTAGATATTAGATCAAATCTACCAAGAGATTCAATATTTCTTAGATAAACAAAATTAAAGATAATATAGATAATTTCCTGTCTAAGGAAAAAAAAAAAGGAATACTGTACAATGAGTTATTGACTCCTAAAGTTCATTTGTGCAGTAATTGCATGCTAAATACTTGTTTTCTTACAGTTTTGTTGCCAAAAAGGATATCCAATTAAAAAAAAAAAGGTAAGGAAAGGAAAGAAAAGGGAAAAGGAAAAAGAAAAAATGCAATTTTTTCTAGATCCAATATGGAAGATTATCTTCTTGTGATTAATAAAATTTTGGTCAGGAATTATGAAATAAGGATGAGAAAATTATATTTTACTATTTAATGTAAATTGACTTCACACACTGAAGTGAAACCTAGCTAAATGACTTTGTGTTTAGGATGTTGTTCTCTGTGCTCTAGCATACCCCAGAAAAGTGTCTATAATTATTATAAAACAATACAATGCAGAAGGGTTTCTTCCCCTGTGAAAGGCTCCAAAAAGCATTCCCAGAGTGTATTGGTATTTTTTGTTATTCTTTTTATATATGTGCATCTGGTTATATAGAGTCAAACTGTGATAGAGTCCCCACCACAGACTTCCTTCACAATTATTCTACATACAAATAACCTAAGTTCAAGTAATGAAAATTAAACACTGCAAGAAAGACATGTACAGCTCCTGAAAACAAAATGTAGGGTTTGCAAAAGTTGCTAACTAAAAACCCCTGTTCAGTTAGCAGTGCCAGTATCTTCGTGTTTCTACTGTTTGACACAATGATGGATTATTTATTTACTGAACAGCACTGGTGGCCAGAAAATCTGATTTTCATGCATGAAATCCATGAAACCTCAGCCACTGAACAGCTTCTTTTACACATGGCAAAGGTCACCTATCAAGGGATTTTCTCACGTTTTGTGTGATTGGTCATGCCTCATTTCCTTCAAGAAAATATGATTTCCCTAAAGTGTGTGCATTTTAAGAGACTCTCAAAGACTGA